TCATCTTCCGGCAATCTGTTGTTTCCATTTGCCTGTGGTTCTCCCTAGTATACTTATAATATCAGTTCCAGTACATGTATTGTCCTTCTGGCTCTGCGAAGTTGGACTTTGGATACTTGTCAGTCTCCCGTTATTACCATGAATGAAGGCAGAACTGCTTGTGATACTGCCTAAAGATAATCTTCTCAGGCAAGACCTAAATCTTTTTGAATGAATAATGCATCTATTGGCATCATGGCAGAAAACCAGTTTCCTGTGGTCACATCCTGAAAGACTTCTGATGAAAATGTATCAATCCTGATTTCTCCTTTTCACATGTTGGAGCATTAATTCCATCTGTATTCATGCTTAAAGGGTTATGATTTGTCTCATATTATAGGAACTCATTCTCAAAGGTTTTCAATTTCTCTTATTATAGGAACTCAAAAGATTTCAATTTTCCTTGTTATAGGAACTCGCACTCAGTGGATTATGATTTGTCTCATCTCAAAGGATTATGATTTTTTCTCTAGCTTTAGGAACTTGTACTTAAATCATCATTTGTCTAAGTAAACTCAATGGAGCTGGGAAAGAATTGGAGGCTACTGGTTACCCATCTTTGATTCTGCAGAGCATAAGTAAAAGCATAGGAAACAGGCTGACTTTGTAAAGCTTCAGAATTAACACTATTGAAGTCACATAATTGTGTCTATATAGCATGCAAACAAAGTAGCTTCCAATTTCAAGGGGAGCATCGTACATTCCAGAAGCTGGGGCCAACTTAACCATTACATGTATGGATGCTTTTCACTACCATTAGGTTCAATTACAAGGGTGAATACTACCCTTATGATTTTTAGATAATAAATAAAACTCAGAGCTCAGCAATTCAGCTGCAAGAGGTACAAGAGAAGTGTCACAGATCCGATTTCTTTTGAAGAAGCAACAGGAAGTGAAAGCTATTTCAAATTATAGTTTATAAAGTAAGAAAAACAGATCCATGTAATAAAAGAGAAAAAATGAAATGAAATAGAAAAAAAAAAAAAAAGTTTGGTAATAAAATTGCTCCATAAGTCTTGCCATTTTCTTTTTTCTGAAAATTTATAATACAAATTTAAATCCGTATTAAAGAAATTTATGTCAGTAAGAAATATGTAGTGTATAACTATCTTTAAAAGGCTTCCAGCCCCATAACTGGATTACTAGAATTTTAAACATCTTTCTGTAATGTAGTTGTTGTTCTTTGGATACAAAGATTTGACTGTTCCTCTACAATATGCTTGACTTACATAATCTTATTTGTTTTATATTTTTGGTAATAATAATTTTATCAGTTCAACTATTTGATCTTACTGCTATAACCTTAATTTCCAGGCAGGTTTACTTGCTTTTATATAATACGATGTAGTCCTTTTTTCCATCATCATCATATAATGGTTATGGGTGTTTGTCCTGTGTATTCTTGATTTAATTTATTGA